TTTTTTGTATTTTTTTATCCACCGTACATATCATATTTATGGACAATATACTTTTAGATGACATTCATATTTAGGATGGACATTTGTATGTCAGCGGGCTCTTGCACTTGATGACTCATAGAACAATTTTCCTTTTAATAAAGGGCAGCTAAAAAACAGTCTCATGCTTTGATATCGGGTTCCAAATTATTTTAATAAAATATTCGTTGAAAATAAAAAAAAGCAGAGATGACTGCAAAAACAACACTAAATAATGTCCATTAATTTCAAGATATCAGAAATAGCAGCTACTATTTTGGAAACGGTACAATTTATATAAGGCGTCAATCTTAAATAATCAAAGTAATGCGGAACTCCAAATCCTCCGAGAATATATAATTCTAGTTTCGAAAACTACGTTCATGGTCTGAAATATATTTCCATCATTAATTATAAAAATTTAAATTTTAAAAATAGTGCAGATCGATCAGATTTAAAAATAATAAAAAATAAGTAATTTGAACAATGTGTTACATGACACTAATTTTAAAACTTGCAATCAAATATCCATATATCTCATATACAAATCGGAGGGTTTTCGAACATTGAAACAAACTTTTCTAGTGGATTTTTTAAATATATCTTATTTTTGTAATATAAGGTTTACATCATAGACTTTTTCGTTTTGAAAAGCATGCCCTGAAAAAGTAAAATGTATGGTTTCAAACATTTTTCCTTGACTTTCCGTTTTTTTTCATTATTTCTCCTATTCCAATTTTGACTCCATTTTTTTGTGTTTTTTTAGTAAATTTCCATTTTCTCAATATAACAGTCATCACCGTTCAAAATGGGAGCAAACCATCCCTGCTTCTCCTGCTTTTACCTTGTTTTGAATCTTATTTTCATCCAAATTTTGTATCTATAACCTAAAGTAGTGAAATTCAACTAGGAATGTAAAAAGGAAAAAGTTTGTATAAGGTTGCAACCTTATACTGTTGAGGAATGGTGCATTTCAAAAATCCTACAGTAGATAGTGTTCCAACATAGTAGAACCCTCCAACTGATCATCTAGACCTTGAGATGAATGGAGATGAAGAAAAAACAGAATTCCAAGTTTAAAAAATAGTACATTTAGTAAAATGTCATCTGGATTGCCTGTTTTCAAGATTTTCTATTGTTTATTAATTTTTTCGATCTGTACTATTTTTTAAAATTTAAAATTTTTTAACTAAATTTAAAAAGAGATTTTGAAGCCATCATAAGAATTTTGACGCCGAAACGACATCTCTAAGTAAATTTTATACGTGCACCTGACTTTTACAGTATAAGGAGGCAACCTTATACAAAACCTCCCCCCATGTAAAAATGGGTACACATTTGAATCAATGATGGTGGGAGGCCCACCATGTGAGGATGTTTTAGTAATTACATCATGAGAAGAAGAGTCCTTAAGTTTGCTCATTTGGAAGGGTTTATTTTGGTAGAAGTTATAGAAGAAAAAACTTACTAATATATCCCATTAAAAATAACAAACGAATAAAATGCATTTGGTTGAGTATAAAGGATGGCAATAGTTACACCCAATAATTTAAAAATCATTGATTGGGATCGAGAATCATTGCTTCAGATCAAGAATCTATGAGACCTTCTTATTATAACCAAGAATTGGTACGTTTCTTAAACTCACATGATTATGTTATAGAGCTCCATACGGTTTGGTACCCACTTTTTCATTTTTCTTGTTTTATTTTTTGTTTTTATTAAATTTAAAATGCATTATTATTATAATTAATTTTAAATCAATTCTCACATAAGAGAATTAGTCCTATCCAGCCCAAATCCGTGATCTGAATTGGTCTAGTAGGAAAGGTGATCCAACCTTTTGATCCTAGTCTTAGAATAATGATTGCACCATATTGGAGTGGTGAAGGGGGAGGCACTAGGTCCATATCTCATAGTAAGTTTTTTTTTTAAAATTATTTTGGGTAAATGTTGCTTGTTTTTCAACCATAGAATATTGCTTTCAGACACAACAATTCATGTAAAAAATAAAAAAAGGACAAACGAATGAAGTGGACAAGAGGGAAAGTCGTAGGGTTAGTGCCATTTTTTTCCTTTCAAAAAGCTATTATTGGATAAAGAGTCAGTGTCAAATTGCTATGCAACGTCACTGTTGCCTCCCGTGACTTTTTACCCAAGCTTGTGTTCCCAAGCCCATGTATTATCGTCCTTTGGGAGGATACTGTTCATCTACTTCCTCCATCAATACCCATAACTAGATTACTTTTTCAGGGTTTTAAGCTTTCCCTACGGCATAGAAGTTCTATCCTCCTCCTACAATCCAGCTGTTCAATTTCGATCAAGAGAGCCGCTCACCATTCTATCTTAGATCCGACGTATCAAAGTATTTTATTTTTAGTTTTTTTTTATACAAATTATATGAATATGAAATTTGATACGTACCATCTTCTCATTGGGGAGCACCTATAAAAAATATTAAAAATAAATTTTCGATAAAATATAATAACCAAAATACCCTTTGAAACTTTCAAGGGTATTTTGATAATCTTATTTTATTGAAAATATATTTTTATATTTTTCGTTAGTGTGAGTTAAATAGAGGAATGGACTTCCAAAATTTGATGTCAAAATAGTTTATAGAAAAAAAATTAAAAATAAAATAGTCAGAGACGTGATATTGTGATTGGGACAATCTTAGCCCTCCATTCAGAATGGACAGTCGGATAAGGGGGATGATAGAACTTCCATGTTGTAGGGGAAGCATACAAAGTTTGCCCTACTTTTCCAGTCTATAATTTTTGAAACCATGTAAAAATTTATTGATAATTATTTTTAAAATAAAAGTTTGAATTTTGAGTTTTGTATTGAGATCTAGCCTTTTAAAGTTTAGATGATTTCTATTCAATCTTTAGAGAGTAATTTTTTCTAGTATATAGAGAGGTTATTTCTATTCTTTTTCTTTTTTGCTGAGATTATTTTATAGGTCGTAAAGATTAGATCCCCAAATTTTAAAATCTAAAAAGTAAGCCAAGCACGTGTTTTACCGAGGGAGTAAGTGGATAGAATCCTTCCCCAAGAGCAGGAAATCTTTTGGCCCCCTTTATTCACGACTCATCTCTCCCCTTGGATTTTGTTGATATTGTTTTGGTTGGATTCCCCCTTTATTACGTTCCATCTTAAAAATGGACATTTATATAAATATATATATATATATTTTTTGGGTTATTTTTTTATTTGGCTAAGTTGCCACCCAAGATTCAATCAATTAATTCAAGTAAAGTTTAATTTAACACCGTGATTGAATTATGCGATTAAATATAATGAGACCATTGCTTTTCACATAGTTCACAAAACTCTCATGTCATCGATGCTCGTGTGTTGTTTGCCCACATAAAGTTTGCAATTATGAACAAGATGGATAAGTATAAGGTGTAATTTTTATAAAGTTACAAATTTATTTGGAGAAGTAAAATTACGATGTTCTACACGGTCTATTTTAGTTATACTTATATTTATAAAAAGAAAGATTGCCACTCTATATAAGCTTTTTCCTTTAGTACAATGTCTACATGATGTTTTAAAGATAGTTAGGCACCTTCTCAACATTTCATATTAAAAAGAAGAAGAAGAAGAAAGAAACATACGATCAATATTGTTTATAATTTACTATTTTAAATTTTTTCTACAACTTGAATTAATTTGAAAATTTTGCGGTCAACAACCCTCAATTAGTTGCACCAAAACAATACATAAAGTAATTTGCAAAAAGAATTGATAACAAAAACACCTAAACTATTGAGGGCTATTTTGGACAATTTTGTTTTTTTTACAAAGTCATATTGTTTAGAAGGGCTTAAGTGTGGTACAAAGTACAAACACCTTCAAAATTTCCCCTTCCAATATAAATCATTGAAAGATATTTGCACCCTTCGATTCATGATCGCCCATTCACGGGTCTTATTAACCTAATTAGGAATGATTTTTGTTTGTACAAAAAATAAATGATCTTATTATATACTATATAAGCAAGGTGAACCCTAAACTTGATAATATAGATATGCTATGAACAAATTTAAAGGGCCGCCTCCTTTCTTTCCATTAAGCCCTGTCTATTGCAAGGTAGTGAGAGGTGATATATGTGACAAGTCACATGGATCCTAATATATTTTCTCATGGATCCTAATATATTTTCTGGTTAAAAATTAACTAAACAAGATTCAAAGAGTTGTTCAACACTAGTTTGCAATGTACCTCCTCAGAAATGGAAGGGCTGGAGGTTAATCATAGAGTCAATTCGAAATTGCATGGATTGATTTGGAACCGGTGGATGGGCGATCTATTTATTGAAACACACACTTGGAATCACCTGGTCCTGATTTTTGAAATAATATTTTTATTTTATATTTTGTGTGATTCAATCCTACGATCGCCAGAGTCAGATTAATCAACTTGGAAATAGTCCTATGGAGATTTCTAAACCATAGTTATGCTGACCAGACTGGAACACCTGATAGACTAGTGTATCGGTCGATCCAATCTAAAACAAAAATCTAGTTTAGTCGAAATCTAGTCAATATTAGTATTTTGCCGGTTTTGACTTCTTCATCAAGTTAAATCAAATTAAAAAATCTATTTATAATGTATTTAATATTTTAACTATTATTTTTATATTTTTCATTTAGTCCAACTGATTAAATGGGCAGTTAATCCAGTTTTCATTGAACTGTGCCGTTTTGCTTCTTCAGTTGTCTATCCTATAACTTGGGTATGTTGCCTCCAAAATTCCTTTCTTCAAAGGGATGGAAAAGAACCTCGGGGTTAAATTGTCATTTGAAAGCACTTGGCTTTATTTTGTGAAAAATGATGCAAGGTTAACTTGGATATAAGTGAAAAACAGGTGGGAAAAGCTCATCTCCCCATGACAAGGAGAACTAAATGCTAAAAGAAAAAACAAAAATAAATAAGTTCATGTGCATGTAAAATATTACACTTAATAAAAAATCCTGAATCAGGAAACAGGGAAAGAAAGCACTTGAATTTGTTTATGAGCTTTGAACACATATAAATACTTTTATTGTCACCATTACTACTGCACAATCTTTCTCTCTTACACCCTTTTTCTCTCTTCAATCTGTACATTTTCTCTCTCTACCTCACTGTGCATTCAGTAGCCATTGAATCATGTCCATGCAGAACAAATCACCAGCAAAGGCACAGAGCAGAAGGAGATTGAGAAGATGGAACCAAACCACTATAAGCCATAGTGAACAGATGCCTCCTCCTCCATTTGACCCTGAAACCACAACTGGTTGCAAATCTTCTCTCTCATCTCTCCTCCTCTCTACATTCATGAACACATCCACCACTGTTAGCAACAACATCAGAGCAAAAAACCCATCACCAAACTCCTCTTCTTCTTCTTCTTCTTTTCGGGGCCTTGGGTGCTCCTCTGCGCCTGATGTTTACAATCCAACATCGGCTCATGGCCTTGTTAGAGCCTCAGCAGATTGGCAATCCAAAAAAGCAAAGAGGAGTGCCAAGAAGCCTCATCCGAGGCGAAAACAGAGTACCCAAGTTGTGGATTCTGATGTTTGGTGCCCTCCTTGTATCTCTCTTTCCACTGATGCTACTTCCATTGATCCAGTCTTTTCCAGGGGCCGTGTTCTTGTCTCTGATAATGGGGGTCACAAGGGGGTTCATGGTGGGAACAGGGGCCTGAGGAGCTTGGTGGCTGAGCAAAATGCTGTTTCCGAGAGGAAATACAGGGAGGTATCTTGTTGTTCTCATGGCCTTCTCCATTTCTTTCCAGTAAAGAAAGTCATCACTGTTTCTTTGTCTTTATCTGTGTGTGTGTGTGTGTGTGTGTGTGTGTGTGTGTGAGAGAGAGAGAGAGAGAGAGAGAGAGAGAGAGAGAGAGAGAGAGAGAGAGAGAGAGAGAGAGAGAGAGAGAGAGAGAGAGAGAGAGAG